AAGCTCCCCAGGACATTCTAATGTGCAGCTGAGAGTGAGACCCACTGCTGCTGACAATGAGAAGATATGAAGGGTTTTAAGCAAACCGTGACATGGTCAAATGCACTACTCAACCTATACAGCTTTATGTGGTGTTAGATAGTCTCAGGTTATTTTGGCAAAAATGTGCATTGAAAAGGGTAAGATCAGGGGCAGGGTGAACACTTACCTGGCTACAAAATAATCTAACCAAGAGCTGACTAAAAGCTAGAAAAGAAGTCCGGCCAGAGTGGCTCAGTTGGCTGGGCGTTGTCCTGTGCACGGAAAGGTTGTCAGTTCAATTCCTTTTTAGGGCACATACCTGGGTTGCGGATTCCATCCCCAGTTGAGGAATGTATAGAAGGCAACTGGTTGATGTTTCTCTCTCACATCGATGTTTCTTGCGCGCTCTCTCCCCAGTCCTCTCTCTAAGCATGTCCTCGAGTGAGGATTAAAAGCCAGAAGTGAAGTAGTGGCAGTGGGGATAGAGAAGGAACTGGAATATATGGGAAGTGAAACCAATAGGACTAAAATAACTATTGGTGGAGAGAGTGGCTTCTGGCCTCCCTCTCAGTTATGGTAAATTAAAAAAGAGGTTTGGGCCCTGACCGGTTTGGCTCAGTGGATAGAGTGTCAGCCTGCGGACTCAAGGGTCCCGGGTTCGATTCCGGCCAAGGGCATGTACCTTGGTTGCGGGCACATACCCAGTAGGGAGTGTGCAGGAGGCAGCTGATCGATGTTTCTAACTCTCTACCCCTCTCCCTTCCTCTCTGTAAAAAATCAATAATATATATATATTTTTAAAAAGGAGGTTTGGGAGTGAAACAATTCAGTTTTAGATTAAACCACTTAAGGTACTTATGAGATAGTTCCAGGTGATCATTGACTATGGTTCTGAAACTTGGGGAAGAGCTGGTTGTAAGAACAAAATTGAAGGTAGTGCATCCTTTGTTACGCTGTTCTCATTTAAAGATTTGAATATAAGAAACTATGGGAGGGGTGGCAAACTTTAAATGATCTAATTTCATAAAAATGTATTTTATAAATTATAGATGCAAACTTTTTGTGCTCTGAATTTTCATTTAACATTTCAGTTAGAACTCAACCAAGTGCTGGAGCAATGGGTTCCAACCCTTATTCTGTTATGGGATATGTATATGTATATGTATATGACCTCAGGCACTTCAGAATCACTTTCTCACCCACACAGAGTATGGGGAAGCATGAGACTTGGTTGGAAGTTTGTAAGGAGGACATTCCAAGAAAAGGGAAGTGTGCAGAAGGCTGCCCACTCTGTTTATTGGAATTCTGACTTAGGGGAGTACCGAAGGTGGTGCCCCTAATTCAGTGATGGCGAACCTATGACACGCGTGTCAGAGGTGACACGCGAACTCATTTTTTTGGTTGATTTTTCTTTGTTAAATGGCATTTAAATATATAAAATAAATATCAAAAACATAAGTCTTTGTTTTACTATGGTTGCAAATATCAAAAAATTTCTATATGTGACACGGCACCAGAGTTAAGGTTTTTCAAAATGCTGACACGCCGAGCTCAAAAGGTTCGCCATCACTGCCTTAATTATTCCTTGACCTTTCCAAACAAGTCTGTGCACATGCAGACTGGTGTTTACTGGAATCCTTAATCTTTGGGAGTCCTTGCTTAAAGGACACTACAAACACATGTCCTCCCAACATTACTTACCCTACTGACTTGTATCTAAAAGATAAACTTTATCTCAAACTGCTGCTACAATAAAAGCCTAACGAGGCAGGCAATTGAGGCTGCCTGGTTCCTTTAGCCAGGTATTCCCTTAGCTCTCTCTTTCACAGCAAATGTGTTGGAGTAATTCATTCATCTGTTGCTCAGGGCCTGCTGGTCAGGGGACTCAATGTTGCTTATAAGCTTACACACATATCTATAATAATAAAAGCATAATATAATTAGACCGGACAGCCAAATGACCTTCTGGATTTCATTCCGGACGAAGCTTTGGTGGCGGGGGCCAAGGCAGAGGTGGTTAGGGGTGATCAGGCAGGCAGGCAAGCAGTTAGGGATGATCAGGCAGAGGGGTTAGAGGTGATCAGGCAGGCAGGCGAATGGTTAGGAGTGATCAGGCAGGCAGGCAGAGGGGTTAGGGGCGATCAGGCAGGCAGGCGAGCAGTTAGGGGTGATCAGGCAGGCAGGCAAGCAGTTAGGGATGATCAGGCAGAGGGGTTAGAGGTGATCAGGCAGGCAGGCGAATGGTTAGGAGTGATCAGGCAGGCAGGCAGAGGGGTTAGGGGCGATCAGGCAGGCAGGCAGGCCAGCAGTTAGGAGCCAGTAGACCCAGATTATACATATTACTATAGTGCACATGCTTGGCATTTTTAATGGCTCTAGTGGTCTAAGGGGCTCTATCTTATAGTGAAAGATAGAGCCATGAGAATATCAGAAAGAGGACTAAGTACATTTGTAGGCACATATGCAAGTGCATTGGTATCATAAGATACAGTCAAATAATAAAATTGAATAACCTTAAAGTTTTAAAGACCAAGTAAAAAGTTTAGCCAAAAAACCCTAGTATTTAGATTTGCATAAAACATATCCTCAGAATTCACATTTAGATCAGAAACATGCCTTAAGGAATGATGGAAAAAAGTGTAATTAGCTTTTAACAGTAAATTATCAAAATATGTTAACAGTTAAAACACAACATAGGTGTCATATATTTAGTTGCTCTTAATTGCTCTTTGTTTAACCTGCTTGCCAGATTAACTGACAACCTTCCTTCTTCTGTAAACTTTTCTAATGGCCTCTGCACAGATCTCTTGTAGTGAAGTTTTCTGTTTTCTAGTACACATAACACTTCTATTCTCTACAATTTAGTTGTACAATGCTTAGTTGTTTGCTCCTAGTTTGTCCCAGTAGATAACTGTATCTCATTACATAATTAGGTATTAGACAAGTAGAGTTATATTTATGAAAACTAAGTCAAACCCCAGTAGTAATGAGCATCCTATCACCCAGATCTTGATTTTTAAACAGATGTCTATTAAAAAGAGCCAGGAATTCCTGGAGAAATGGTCATATCTGGAGAAATGGTCATATCTGGGGCACTGAAAGTGCAAGGTGAACCTGAGATATCTTCTGTCAGAAGGCAATTAAGTGCCCAAAGATGGGAGAGGGAATGTCAAAGGACCGACATAAGAGCTACCTGAAGGATTCAAATTGGCCAAAGTTGGGATAATTTGAGCATCAGAAAAAATGATCACAATTTATCATAATACATTGAATCATTTGTCATCACTGTCAACTCCTTAATATGACAATTTGTAATTAAAGGAAAAGAATTGAGCATGACCCTGCCTCAAGTACAGTCCAGCTGATGAAAGGTCACTCTTACAGAATGTCAGTCAATAAATGTAGAAATAAGAGAAAATCACCACCATTTTGCAAATCTTGATGAAATAATTGATTCAGGCAAGAATCATCATTATTGGATACCAAAACCACCAGGTGAAAGTTTGAGGCTACACAGGCTATCCATAATCTGCCAAGGTCTCAGTCCACAGATGAACTGCAACAGAAAAAGATACCTTTCCATTGGGAAGATAAGGTGGTTACAATTGAGTGATCAAATTTTGCATCACTGATAGTGAGGCAACCAGATATTAATAAGACTTCTGATATAATATGACATACATCTGTGAAGTGTTAATGTTAAAAATGTTTAGTCTAAATACATCAAGCCTTGTCCCTAATTGCTAACTTACATAAACTAGAGCAACAAGATAAGCAAACCACAGATCTGTTGATTTGATAAACAATCTGGTTGTAAATAACAGTTAAATCCTGAATGTGAGATTCTACAACTGACCTGCTCCATTAAGAAAAAGTCCTGGAAAAAAATCAAAGTTGGGAGACTGTTTTAGATAGATGAAGCAAACATTACAATAAAATATAGTGTGTGAAATTTGACTGAACAGGAAAAATTTAAACATGGATTAAGCATTAGGTATTAGGAAATTACTATTCATTTCTTGAGATATGTAATAATATTGTGATTATGTAAAAAGAAAAAGACTGTCCTTATTTTTTGAGATGCATTCATAGAGGTGAAATGTCATATCTTTGTTATTTTCAAATTGTTCAGAAAAATATGGCAAAATGTGAATTTTAAAATCTAAGTGGCAGATGTAATTTATTCTTTAACTTTCAGTATATTTGAACATCTTAATAACAAAAAGTTGTGGAAAATAAAAAACTGGTATTATATTTAGGCCAGACAATTGTAAAAGTGGGGAAAAAACACAAAGATTTAGGAATCTCCACTATTATTATTCTATTATTTTATAAGGGCATCAATTGTTTCAGTGTATCAATGGAAGACCTTTATAAATGCATTATTTACGCAAGACACATAAAAGTAGGAAATACAAATTAATGCAAAGAAAGATCCTATGGACTATAATACTCCACACATTCATTCCAGGAGAAAAATGGTGTGTAAGGTATAAAGTGGCAGTATAAAAATTGCATATGAAGTACAATGGTTATTTTTAATCTAATCACTGGCATAAGCATAATTTGAGTATTATACAACCTGGAGATAATTTATAATTTGTGAAAGGCAATTCCATAACATCAGGGTAATGAATGACAGGCAAGAAAAAGCAACAACTTCTTGAAGAAAACACTCAAAAAGAAAGCCTTGAAGATGTCTTTCCTTCTGCACTTGTTTGTAGGATGTATATATAGTCATGTCCAAATGAAGCCACGTGGGTCAACACACGTTTAAATTGATATTTATGGTGCCAGAATTTATATCAGTTTTTCCTCATCTAGCTCAGAAAAACTTCCTGTGCAAATATGTCTCATACTTTCTTAGGACATATTAACAATCCCCATTATTAATATCTCGGGATTCTGTTTCTTCATTTTTAAGTAGTTCTTAATTAACCAATCAATGACCAGTATTTGTTAAATCTTTCATAGGATTCTGTTTCTTCATTTTTAAGTAGTTAACCAATCAATGACCAGTATTTGTTAAATCTTTCATGTACGCACCAAAAATTCTACCAATTTCACTCCATCAGTTAAGTCTACCTTATTACTCATCTACTTATTCATTCAACTAACAGATATTGACCACCTGCTATATGCAAGGCACTGAAGAAACAAGAGCAAGATGAAATCTCAGCTTTCACAATATGGTCTTATATTCTGACAGTGGAATGCTGTGGATATTAAATGCAATAATATTTTTACCTATTGCTATTTGCATTTCTGCCAGTTTTCCTTTTATATTGTTTAGGGCTCTGACTCAGTTATTATTGTTTAATGATTACTGCATCGATGATAGCTTCTGCATCAATGCTTTTTTTTCAATGAATTTCCCCCCTGAATTTGAAGAGTATACTTATCTATATCTATATGAAGGAAAATGAATTCTAATTATTCCTTTAAAGTCAATAATTTCATTTTTACTTTCTTCTTACAAACAACAGGATGAATTTTGTTTTTTATTAATCAGTTTTTTTCCTAAGGTAAACCAAGTTAAGTAACAGTTTGTGTTAAGTTACCTATATGTTCACTTTCCTCACTGTTGTCTTCATCTTGATTTTTTTCCTTTTGGCACTAAACTCATATCCATTTTCCATTACTGGTTTTTCCTCACATTATATTTTATTACTTCCTTGCTTTAGGATATGTGGTCAACTTTGGCAACCCATTTTAGGTTTCTTATGCTCATCCTATTACGTACTAGTTAAGCTCATGTTCTTACTTTAACCTTTCATCACTTTAGAAAGCTTTTGGTTGCTTCATTTAGCAGTGAATTGCAGCAAAGTACTGCAGGAAGCCCTGAAAGGATCCAATTTAAGAAGTTTGGGCCCTCCCGAAACCGGTTTGGCTCAGTGGATAGAGCGTCGGCCTGCGGACTGAAAGGTCCCAGGTTCAATTCCGGTCAAGGGCATGTACCTGGGTTGCGGGCACATCCCCAGTGGGAGATGTGCAGGAGGCAGCTGATCGATGTTTCTCTCTCATCTATGTTTCTAACTCTCTATCTCTCTCCCTTCCTCTCTGTAAAAAATCAATAAAATATATTTAAAAAAAAAAGGTTTGGGCCCTGAGCACAGTAGGCACTCAAAAAACATGTATTTCAAGGAAAGAAATGGACTTTCTAAAGTAAAACATCACAGAGTACCCTTAAGTTATAAAACTAGGAGGCAGGTGAAAAAAAATGGAACTATTCTTATTTTTTTTTTCTACAGGATGACAGATGTCAAAACTTAGTGAAACTACGGCTGTTTTAAAGATTATTTTAAGCTTGGGTGTTTGTTTAATTTTTGTCTGTTTAACTAAATTGAATTTGTACATGTCTAAGGGTTATATACACATTAGTTTCTCTATCCTATAATCTTTCACTAAGGTTCTCTTCCTTAATATTTAAGTATTTAAGGAAAGTATAATTAAACAGTGGTCACATAGAAATCTTTAAGATACTTTCAAATTTCTCCCCCAAACATGGCAGTTATGGCATAATAGGAAAAGGGAAGTAAAAAGGGGGAGAGGGACCTTTTACATATTTAAGGCTTCAAAGCTGGGAAGAACTAAAAGCCTACTAAACAGCTTTTCTATTATCCCAGGACTACTCTCTTCTGTGAAATCTCTGCTTGATGGAAGCTTTCACAAGTTACATTCACAAGGCCTCATTAAAAAGTACTTGAAATACAGTAAGAGTTGGTGAGTTACAGATTTTTGAATACTCTTACTTTCACAGGGTTTCTTTCTGGAATAAATCAAGTAAAAGTTAAGAAGTGAAGGAATGCCTGGCTGGTATGGCTCAGTGGTTGAGCATCAACCTATGAACCAGGTCATTGTTGGATTCCTGATGAGGGAACATGCCTGGGTTTTGCGCTGGATCCCCAGTAGGGGGCGTGCAGGAGGCACCTGATCGATGAAGTTTCTCTCTCATTGATGTTTCTATCTCTATCCCTCTCCCTCCTTCTCTCTCTAAAAAATTAATTAAAAAAGAAGTGAAGTTTTCTTCTCAAATTTCACATTAAATTTAAATAGATTATATCCACAGTACCAATTGATACTTCTGCTCAGTGGTATCTAACATATATTGCACTTCTTCTGAATGTGTTAACACAGAGAGAGAGTACAAAATGAAATTTAAATAATTAAGTTGTAACACCTAAAGTCTTCATATCCATTAATTACGATGTTTGGTACCTGTATGAACACGCTGATGCTGAATAAGGTTTGTACTCTGAGTGAAGGTTTTACCACATATACGGCATGCATAGGGCTTCTCTCCTGTGTGAATTCTCTGGTGTTGAATAAGGCATGTTCTCTGGCTAAAATCTTTATCACATTCATTACATTTATAAGGTCTTTCTCCAGTATGAGTTCTATGATGTTGATTAAGTGATGAGGAATAAATAAAAGCTTTCCCACATACATTACATTTATAGGGTTTCTCTCCAGTATGAATTCTTTGATGTTGAGTAAGGTTTGCACCCTGTCTATATGCTTTCCCACATATGTTGCATTTAAAGGGTTTTTCTCCATTATGAATCCTATGATGTTGAGTAAGGTGTACACTCTGGCTGAATGCTTTCCCACACACAGTGCATTTATATGGTTTCTCTCCAGTATGTGTTCTATGATGTTGAGTAAGGTTTGCACTCTGGCTGAAGGCTTTCCCACATATTTTACATATATAGGCTTTCTCTCCAGTGTGAGTAGTTTGATGTTGAATAAGAGTTGAGGAATGAGCAAAGGCTTTTCCACATTCATTACATTTATAACACTTCTCTCCAGAATGAATTCTTTGATGTCGAATAAGGTAAGTACTCTGACTAAATACTTTCCAACACTCATTGCATTTATACGGTTTCTTTCCAGTATGTATTTTTTGATGTTGAAGAAGGTGTGTACTCTGACTGAAAGTTTTCCCACATTCGTTGCATATATAAGGTTTTTCTCCAGTATGAACTCTCTGATGATTAATCAGTGATGAACTGTGGCTGAAGGTTTTACCGCACTCCAAGCATTTATATGGTTTCTCTCCAGTATGTGTCCTTTGATGTATAGTAAGGTGTGCACGCTGACTAAAGTCTTTCCCACAGTCATCACACTTATATGGTTTCTCTCCGGTATGAATTCTCTGATGTATAGTAAGGTGTGCTCGCTGGCTGAAGGCTTTACCACACTGGTGGCATTCATATGGTTTTTCTCCAGTATGCATTCTCTGATGTGCAATAAGGGATGAGAGGTGCCTAAACTCTTTCCCACATTCTTCACATTCATAAGATTTCTCTTTGGTATGGGTGCTTTGGTGTTTCACGTAGGATGGGTATTTCCTAAACTTTTTCCCACACACATTACATTTATAAGGCTTTTCTCCAGGATAAAATTTCCTGTGTACAATACCATATGAGATATGATTGAAGGTTGCCATGCTTTCGTCATATGTATATGTCTTATTATCTGAATGGGTATCAAACTGTATAATTAGGTTTGAATGTTTTTCAAAATGATTTCCATATATATCATATTTACTAAGATACTCTCCTGTAGGATCATCTTCTTGTGAAAAAACTGACTTCAAACTGAAATTCCTTTCATTAGTGGGAATTTTCATGAAGGTATCTGGTGTTTGCCTCTCTAATCTGTCACCATAGTCATAAGGTTCTTCCAATTTGATGGTCTGGGTTCCATCTGTTGTGTACCCAGGAATATTTTTAACTGGATTACAATCTTGGGCTTCTGTTTCCCATCCTGAAATAAAAAGAATATAAAAAGGAAACTGTCAAAATAGAAGCAATATAATGAATGTGAATAAAATGCTTAAAAAACTATGGCTCGGACAACCTCATAACATGGTTCTTAAAGCTTGGGAAAGGAGAATAAAAGGGCAGAAAAACAGAAGACTAAACTGCAAATGGAGAGGTTCCTCACTATTCAACATGGGCACAGAGTAAATAAAATAGGTTAGGTCAGGTGACAGCTAAGAGAAGTGAATATAGTGGATAATACCATGTAGGATAACTTGGGATGGCTTTAATTGTGTATTTATTTATAACTAGAGGCCCAGTGCACAGAATTTGTGGGGTTGTGGCCTGCGGGGATCTGCCCGCTGTGGGAGTGACCCTCATCCTGGTCAGCTGAACGGCTGTGAACCCACTGGACCCGCCCTCTGAGCAGCTGTTCCCACTGCGCCTGCCTTGGCTGGCCTGGGAGCAGCTCCTGCGTGGTCAGTGCGTGTCATAGTGACCGGTCGTTCTGCCATTCGGTCGATTTGCATATTAGGGTTTTATTTTATAGGATTATCTAATTTATATAATGGCTTCATAAAGTAAACATGCTATCATAACTCCTTCCAATCTACTCTGCATAATCCTACATATTATCAAAGCAATTTCATGGTGCTTTTCATACTTAAATATGTCTACTAACTCTCCTATAGCCTTAAACAACAGCTCTCAAAAGTACAGTTCCCAGCCCTGGCCGGGTAGCTCAGTTGGCTGGAGCATTGTCCCAATACTCCAGGGTTGTGGGTTTGATCCCTGATCAGGGTACATACAAGAGTTAATCAATGAATTCATGAATGGATCCCAAAGCAAACTTATGTCTGTCTCTTTCTAAAATCAGTAAGTAATTATAACAACAACAAAAAAACTTAAAAAAAAAGTACAGCTCCTAGGCTGGAGGCTAAGCATCACTATCACCTGGGAATACGTTAAATTATTGCACCCCACCCAGACATACTGAATGAGAGACTTTGGAAGTGAGGCTGAACCATCTGTTTTTTTAGCAGCCCACCAGGTTGTTTTGATGCACATGAAAGTTTGAGGACCAGTGGAATAAAGGATAGAAGTTAAAGAGAGAGAAAAAAGTTCAAAATACCCCCAACTTGGCATGTAGTCCCAAAATATTCAAACCTTTTCTATTCTACCACACTTCATATTCAGTTTAACTTAAAGTTCAAAGTTATTCACATAACTTAAAATACTTCTTCATAATCTTCTATAGATGCTATGCTAATTCTAGACTCTAAGCCTTCTCTTATGATACCTACTCCATCTATTAAAAAAGCTCGTTTTTCTCTCCTTCTTAGAGTCCCAAGTACAGATTAGGCTGACTCATAAAACTGTCTTCCCCTGGCCAGGTGGCTCAGTTGGTTGGAGCATCGTCCTGTACACCAAAAGTTTGTGGGTTTGATTCTGATCAGGGCACATACCTAGGCTGCAGGTTTGATCTCAGATCAAGGTGCACATGGGAGGCAACCAATCAATGTTTGTCTCTCTCTTTCCCTGCCTCTCTCTAAAAAACCAATAAAAACATCCTCGGGTGAGGATTAACAAAACCCACATATAAAATTGTCTTTTTTTGTAGGTCAATATGGCTGAATATTAGCAGTTTCATATGGCTCAACCTCATATAATGTGGGGCCATGACAAAACTTGGCCTTACATTTTTATTTCACAATTTTGTGTGTTACTTATATTTCCAACCTAGTTGTTAACTCTGGAACTAACTTATGCTTTTTTTACATTTCCTTCAAAAAATGGCCGAAGACTGGACATGGTGGCCACTCACCTGAATTGATAAGACAGTAACTTGTAAAAAGGTGGACCCAAATGAAAATGCGCGTGCGCGCATACACACACACACACACACACACACACACACACACCCAACAAAAAACTCTGACCCCAAACCTGCCTGCAAAACAATCAAATATGTCTAGACATAGCTTGGAGATATTGTGGGTTTGGTTCCACACCACCGCAATAAAGCAAATATCACAATAAAGTGAGTCACATGAATTTTTTGGTTTCTCAGGCATATCAAAGTTATGTTTATATTATACTGTAGCCTATTAAGTGTGCAATATCTGATGTCTAAAAAATGTACCTACCTTAGTTAAAAAACACTTATCGTTAAAAAATGCTAAGCATAATCTGAGCCTTAAGAAAGTTGTAATCTTTTTGCTGGTGGAAGGTCTTACCTTCAATTTGTAAAATGTTTAGTATCTGTGAAGTGCATAAAGTGAAGCACAAAAGTGAGGTATGCCTGTATTTGTTGATGTCTATTATGTTTCCATTATGATAGTTTAAAACAGATTTAAGTTACAGTACCTTTCTCCTTTGAGATCAGGTGGGAAACATAACTTACAAACATTAAGAATTATTTAATGAAATAATTAAATATGGAATTTATAATGTAGCAAAAATAATACTGAATAGTTCAGAAACTTTCTAAGATGCAGATCAAAGTGTAATAACCACAAATATATTCATTCCATGGAATCAACCATCAATAAAGGAGTAGCTAGCACAGGGGATATGGAGTATTGATAACTGATAAAAGTAATTAGGTAGGTCTATGTACATTAATATAAAAAGGTGTAAAGGGCATATTATTAAGCAAAAAAAGAGGTAGGTATATAACAGTATGTAGAGCAAGAACCTACCTGTGTAAAGATATGTTACATATCTTATAAATAAATATACACATACATTTATACACATTATACACTATAGTGATAATCTAAGGGGAAAAGGTCTTAGTAATGGGTGAGAGGAGGGAGACATATCTCATTTGGCTTTCTTGTGCTGCTTGAATTTACAAACTATTTTTATTACTTTGATTTCAATTAAAAAATCAGAGTTGATACTAGAAAATGGTTAGGACTAAGGTTAAATAAAAAAAGCAGTATCATAACTAGCATGAAAACTCGTAGAGAAATAATACCAAAATGCTAATAATGAAATTATAGGTTTTCCAAAAATATTTTCTAATATTTAATTGGCTATGCCTTTTATTGCTGTTTAGCACTAGAAATGTAGTTCTATTACTTTTATAGAAAAAAAATTTAAAACAACTTCCTCAAAACAGATTTGTTACTTTCCCCCCACCCCCAAAAGAAACAAAATGAGAATGTTAATGGACTGTGTAGGTAAACATGTGAGTGTGCATGTGTGCACACACACACAATACACAATGAGATAATACCAGAAGCTGAGTTTAACTTCTATGTAATCAGAATGCATCTATGATGACTATTTCATATACCCGAAAAGGAAATACTAAAGGTTATAATTAACAAGCTTAAAGTAACAAGTCTGAATGATGACCATGAAGGAATTGCTACTCTAAAGCAGCGGTTCTCAACCTGTGGGTTGTGACCCTTTGGCGGTCGAACGACCCTTTCACAGGGGTCGCCTAAGACCATCCTGCATATCAGATATCTACATTACGATTCATAACAGTAGCAACATTACAGTTATGAAGTAGCAACGAAAATAATTTTATGGTTGGGGGTCACAATATGAGGAACTGTATTTAAAGGGCCAGAAGGTTGAGAACCACTGCTAAAGCACACATTTTTAAACCAATCAATTTATTGCAAGTTCAGAACTTGAGATAATTAAGCAGAGCTTAAAGATGTGTATATAACTAACCAGAATGAATTGATTTGAAGTAATAAATATCTATTGGTCAATAGGGCCAAACAATGGTACAGCTCTAATAGAAGAGATCAGTGTTGACTCAGGTAATCAAGGAAAGCTTTGGGGATGGAAGGAGGCATGATTTGAGTTGAACCTTAAAGAATGGCTAGGTCCTGTGTAAATAAAAAAAAAAAACTATACAAGTTCTGAGACAAGACTGGCTTTGAAGACCAATAAATACTACTACTCTATTTGTGAATTATCAAAGTTTCTCTTTCCTAAAATACTAGAGGCCTGTTGCACGAAGAGATTCATGCAATAGGCCTTCCCTTCCCTTGGCTGCTGGCACCGGTTTGCCTCTGGCACCCGGGACCCAGGCCTTCGCTCTGGCCAGGCTCCAGCTGGAGCCAGCCCCGGGGCCGTCAGGCTTCACTCCGCCGCTTGGAGCCTACGTATGCAAATTAACTGCCATCTTTGTTGGGTTAATTTGCATACTCTCCTGATTAGCTGGTTAGCATAGCGAAGGTACGGTCAATTTACATGTTTGTCTATTATTAGGTATGATGATTGATTAGATATCCTATCAAAGGTTCAACTTATTATATATCACTGAGATGGTAAGAAAACAAAATCTTCAGATGCCAAAAATCTAGTAAAGACAAGAAGATAGGAAATCAGCAAGAGCTCAAGTTGGCTGCTTGTGACAGATCCTCAATCCTGTTGATGACCCTTAAGATTCTACTTTGAGGGTGCAAGGGGCTCAGGGACCAGAAGAAAAAGCCTAGGGCCCAACCCTAAGCTTTAGGAGGGAAGGCTGACAGAGTCTATACTCTGTATTACACTCTATATAAGGACAGGCTAGAAAACAAGCAAAATCGAAAAAAACACCTCACCTCTACAAAATACAAAAAGGAATTTGCCTTTTTCAGTCTTGTTTTTTAGCAGGAAAAAACTACTCTCAAAATACATGACCATAAACTGCTCCCTTTTGTGGCTTTACCCTAATTTATGCTACCTGAATCATCTGAAAGACCATGCTGAGAAGTCAACTTAAAGTGCTTCCAGAGGGACAGTACCACTCAGAAGTCTATCCTGACTCTAGTTCAGGCTTATTTCCATTATGCCATGTATGTTTTCTCATTGTTTAGAGTGTGCTGAAATCATTCCCCAAAGGACTTAGTGTGCTACTGGCATATTTTATGTCATTCTGCCAAGGCAAATAAAGCCATAAATTATGAGAAGAACAAGCTTTTCAATTAGTGTGACCCTTAAAATACCTAATGACCAGATTAAAAAAAAAATCAAATCAGATAAAGTTTAAAA